GGTGGTGTGCGTGGGTGGGGTGGGCCGGTGGGGTGGGATTGATGGGGGGCTATTGGTTGTTGGCAGCAGATTTAATATGTAGTGTGGTCCACCTTTATGTGTGTTGTGTGGAAAAATACCACAATACCCTTAATGAAGGTATAATTTTGGCCTTTTATTTAGTCATTAGATCATCTGATCTAATGGCTACGATTCATTCTTATTTCTTTCCCTAAGCAATATTCTCATCGGAGCGTGACCATATATATATATATATAGAATTTTTATCATATAAATATATATAAATAAATATTTCGTTTATAAATTTTGTACATCATAGCGTTAGTAGTATAATATCTCATATTAAATATTTACAATATATATATATATATAGCTTTTATTTGTAAAATAAATAAAGATTCTAAATAAAAAAGTTATAATAATCGGGTCAAACAGGGTTATCCCGATTGGGTCGATGCCCGAGTTGATCGGGTCAAAGTTGGGTTGACCAAGTTTTGACTGAATTTTTTGTCACTTGGTGCGAAGCACCTACCTGGACTGATTCCGACCCGTGGTCAATCGGATCTCCGATCTACTCTTGGCTTGTCTTGGTTGAAAAACTATATCCAAAATAATAGTACGTGAAGTTTGAGTATAATAGTATAAAGGTGCACAAAGTTCGGTTAATCGGGTGCACAAAGTTCGGTTAGTCGAGTCGAACCGACCGAAATAAAAAATTTGGTTTGGACCGAAAGCGAAAGCGAATATTTGGTTCGTCTTTTTGTTTACATTTTCTTAAAATTTCAGGTTTCGGTTTGGGTTGGGTAATTGTGATCTGCTAATCGGAATCGATTTATACGCATATATATATATATATATATATATATATATATATATATATATATATGTTTTTTTACTTATACATATAAGTTATAAAAGCATTAATTTGCTTCAATGATTGATTATTTTCAAGTTTCAATGACCCATAAAATGGCTTAAGCATTAGTTTGCACTCAAGAATGACTTGGTCATATTCTAAGTCACGGTTCAGGTCCGAGATCTTCCTTTGAGGAGAATTTAGAATATACTGAAAAGATTAAACAACGTAATAATTTTTCTTTTTTTTTTTGTTCGGATAAAACATAAAATTTTTTGTTCAGTTAAAAATTTAGAATTTATTGAGAAGATTAATTATTTATTGCTATATCGAAAATCGAAGTGAACCGACCACTAAATTTTTGATTAAAAAATCGAACCGAACCGTAAATTTCGGTTCGATTTTTGGTTATGATAATGGATAAACCAAAGATTTGGTTAACCAAAAATTCGGTCGATTTGGTCTGGTTTCGACGGAATAAGCAGCCCTATAAAATTGATTTTTTTTTTTTTTTTTTTTTTTT